TAACAAATTTTCAAAAAAATTGATCATGGATTAAAAAAAAATACACAAATTTTCAAAAAATTCTATCATGGATTACAAAAAAATTCGATCATGGATTAAAAAAAAAATCAACAAATTTTCAAAAAATTCAATCATGGATTACATAAAATTCGATCATGGATTACATAAAATTCGATCATGGATTAACAAAAAAAACAAACAAAAAAAAAAAAAAATTCAATCGTGGATTACAAAAAAAGAGAAAAACAGTTCAATCATGGATTACAAAAAATTCAATCATGGATTACAAAAAACTCTATCATGGGTTACAAAAAAGCAAAAAACAAAAAATTCAATCATGGATTACAAAAAAAAAACAAACATTTTGATCATGGATTACAAAAAAAATACAAACATTTCGATCATGTATTACAAAACATTCGATCATGGATTACAAAAAATTCTATCATGGGTTGCAAAAAAAAAAAAAACAAAAAAAGCGATCATGGATTACAAGAAAAGAAAACAAACATTTCGATTATGGATTACAAAAAATTCTATTATGGGTTACAAAAAACCAAAAAATTCGATCATGGATTACAAAAAAATCGATCAAGTATTACAAAAAAATCTATCATGGATTACATACAAAAAAAAAAAAATCCGTACGGACTCGCCGATTCACTGTTCGGACTCGCCGATTCCGTACAATGAATCGGCGAGTCACTGTGCGGAATCATCCGGTTCTCTCTAGAACCGGACGATTCCCGATTTTTCAACCGATCCGGTCCCCTTTTCGCGAATTCCGAGTCGAATCGGGTGAGTCCGGTTCGACTCGGCGTTTTTTAAAACGCTGCTCTAAACAATATAATTAGAGACTACCTTCGAAATAGTGTCAAAAATGTGCTTTCAATACTGAAAATATCTTTTATAGCCTAAAAATATATATATATTTTTATTTATCAAGTTTAAAGCTTCAAAAATGGTGTAGATCGAGATATCTATGAAAACTTGAAAATTGACTGTCAAAAAATGCATTACAAAATACATTATTTTCAAAACTTGAAATCTATTTTTTTCTCGTGTCCATGCATCTTGATACCGAGATGATCTTAGGATATTTGGGCATCAAAACAGCATCTTCTAGTGAAATTTTTGAGGTACGCTCTTATTTGATTGTTTAGAGCTTCGGCTCTATATAAACTTTTTCCTTTTGGGATCATATTAGGAGCTTTAGTACCAAGAGGTCACTATTAATATTAGATGTCCAATTCCATGGCTTAGTATATGCCACGAGGTTCAAGAAATTTTTTATTGAGCTTTGAGTTTAGTTAGAATACACTTACAACCATTTGATTTGAAATCTGATGGACAAGAATAGTTGTGACCTCTTTATACTAAGAGTAATTGTTCTCTTTGTATACTTTTCCATAGTTTTTTCCCTTGGGCCATATGCAAACTAGTGAAAATCTTCAATATAAAAGGAAAACGAAAAAAAATTTATATAAGGTTGCAACATTAAAATGTAGAATTAAAGATGCACTTCAAAAATCCAATAGAAAATTTTTTTTTAATGTTGAAAAACCCTCTAATTGATCATCTCGACATCTATATGTATGAATATGAAAAAACAAAAAGAAAAATAGATTCCCATAAATAGACCGTCTATTTTCAAAATTTTCATATGTTTATAGATATACTTGATTTTAATAATTTTTGAAGTTTAAAAATTTTATAATTAGAGATGAAATAGATTTTCAGATAATCCTAAAAATATTTTACCCCAAAATTACATGTTATGATAAAATTTGGAGGTGTGCCTTAATGGGATTGTTTACGGTCGGAACCTCACAAAAAGCACACCCATACATAAATAACTCTTTAAGTGAATAGATAAAAAGGTTTTTTTTTTTTGTCATGGTTGAAAGTTGAAAGAATCCTTGAGTATAAATAGCGCATGAACCCTTTTCACTTGTATGTATGAAAATGATTTTCCTTCTTGGAAGTTAGGGCCGGCAACCAGCCAGGCCAACCCTATCTCTAGCCGTGACCCAACTCTAGTACCCATAGGGTTGGCCAAGTTCAGCCCTGACCAGGCCAAAGAGGCATTGGCTTTGGCTTAGCCCTAGCCATATCTAGGTCGGGCCGTTTTATTTAAAAAGAACAATGGTCAGGCCAGATGAGGCTGACCGTGGCTCAAGTCCAGCCCAACTCGGTACTACCCTCGAGCTACATTTTTTGGACCATGCCTTAGTTTTTTTTTTTGGGCCGGGCCACCAGCCGTACTGGGGGTGCATAAAAAAAAGTATTTGTTTTGCCTGTTTAAGATAAGGGTACAGTTTGCATACGGAGGCATCCGTTAGTGTAAAGGTAAGGTGCACCTTCAAATTTTATCATGGTATATAATTTTGATATAAAATGTTCTTAGGATTATTTTAAAATCTATTTTTTGTATCTAATTATAAAATTTTAAATTTAAAAAATGGTGAAAATCAAGTAGATATGAAAATCTTGAAAATAGACGGTGTAGATAATATGTTGTAAAATGCTCTATTTTTAAGACTTAAAATCGTTTTATTTTTCATAGTGATACATCTCGAGTCGAGATGAACAATCAAAGGGTTTTTCAACATTAAAACTACTTTTTTTTCGATGGATTCTTTAGCGGCATCAGTAGTTCTACATTATAAGGTGGCATCCTCATATATATTTTTTCCTTAAAATAAAGGTGGTTGCTTTTCTCCTTGCAATAACGAAGAAGACATATGTATGGGGAGTTTTCATGAAATCCGGTATCTGAACATGTGCCTTGTCCTCCGAATTCGGTTCTCTGATTACGAGGAGGCCTTTTATTTATTGTTTAATGGGAGCTTGTATATTAAGGGCATGCGCGGGAATAAGGATTTCTTCTTTTGAGGCCTACCAGTCTGACAAAAGCAAGAGGGATGTCACAATCCAACGGATGCTGCCACTTTGTGCAGTGGGTATAGCGTGTTCCCCTCGGACTACAATACAGGCTTACTTCCCACCGCTGAAAGACCACAGGGAAAACTTGTTTATCTAAATTTGGAGATGGGTGCACTTGGCATACGCAGGCCTCCGTAGGTGTAGAGGTACAGTTCCCTTCAAATTTTATCATGATATATAATTTTGATGTAAAATGTTATTAGGATTATCTCAAAATCTATTTTTATATCCAATTATAAAATTTTAAATTTAAAAAATGGTTAAAATCAAGTAGATCTATAAACATATGAAAATGAAAGGTGTAGATAATATATTGTAAAATGCACTATTTGTGATATTTAAAATTTTTTTATTTTTCATAGTTATACATCTCGATGTCGAGATGATCAATCAAACGATTTTTCAACATTAAAACTACCTTTCTGATGGATTTTTGAGGGGCATCCATAGTTCTACAGTATAAGGTTGCATCCTTATATAAACTTTTTCTTTTGGGGATTTACCTAAGAATCTCAATATGAGAGAAATAAGAATCTCAATACGAGAGAAAAAGGGTCTTTGTGTTATAGACTGTCCAAAGATTTAAAATTTTGATTGCCCCTAATTGATCTTATGGAGTTATGTTTTAAGCACATGCAATGCATATATATTTCTTGAACATTTAGATATTCGATGTCAAATTGCACCATTGTTGGGAAAAAGTTTTAACGATGACGATGATGATGATATCGAATTGCACCAAGCTTGAAGAAAATTCAGTATGAAACGGTTTGATATCAACAATATTGAAGTCCCTCATATCTGGGCCTGCGTGATACATAGGGTGGTTTGATGTTGCTAATGTTAAAGTGCCCCAAATATGTGGCAGTTGGCTTTCTTGAGTATTGTATGATACTAGAGGTAACAAAAATAAAAAATAAAAAAAGGGTTTAATATTGTTAACATGGACCCTGGGAAAAAGAAACCACAAAAAATGTAGGGC